GCATGCCTTTTATCTATGCCACCGGCAGAGTTTGCAAGGTGTTCAAAGACTAGGACAAATGAGTTGAGTCCTGCTGCCAATGCAAATCTCCTGCCCCTAAGGCTGGGAAGCTGCGACTCTGAGGACCCAGCATAACCAGGGACATGAAACTAAGGCCAGCAGACAGAGCTCCTGCAGAGCACAAGCTTGCAGTGGGGGGAGAAGCAGAGTCCAGAAGAGGCCTCCAGCTTCTTTACTGCTGCCACCCAGACTATCAGATCTTGTTGAGTAGTCCAAAAGTGGAGGATTTGCAGGGGGAGGGGGGCAGCCATTGATCCTTGGTCTACACTGGAAGCCTGAAGAAGCTGGGTTCTGATATCAGAGAAGGAACGCAGCAGAGGCTGCAGAAGCACCAACAGGGTCGATTAACTGGCCAGGAAGGAAAGCAGGCAGAAGCAAGGCTTCCTCTACCATCATCTATCTGGGCTTCAATGGGAAGGTACTGCGCAAATCTAGAAAAGGACTTTACATTTCAAATAACGTGGTACAGGAAATCCTTCACAGATATGCCCAGCAGCTTGACGCCCCATTGATACTATATATATTCAAGGTGACTGCCAAGATCCATCATAGCATAGTAAGAGAAAAATAGTAACTATAAGGTGGCCAAAACTCCTGAATAAAGATTGTGATTTTCCAATAAGACTAGCTAAAGCTTTACCTTATTATTTGCACATACACTAAAAACTATCCAGTAAGTACGTTGGAGATGTAGCGAGTGAGGCGCAGTGTGATTCAGATTACTATACTATTTTTATTTGGTGGTTTCACAATAAGTCTGTAATTGTCCCATATTTGAAAAATAGAGAAATAAGAAAATACTTGAACGTTTTATGCCGGCTCACAGATCTGCATAAAAGACGTAGAGCCCTGAGTGAAATATTGTTTATTTTCTCTACTACATTAGTTGTAGGGAATACTATGTTTGGGTGCCGGACCAAATCATTCTTCGCCTGCTGAGTCCCTGTGAACACATCAAGAGAAATATCATGAGGCAATGAGGGCAAAAGTTCAGGTGCATCTCTGACAACTTTACCTTTTTTAGGTATTAAAAATCAGCTCTGAGACACACGATTCTGCCGAAGCAAGATAACAGATAGATTCTCACACAAGTGGAGCTGGAAAGAAATGGAAGAGAGCTGGCTTCTGTCACCAGTGAGCCTTTCCAAGGGGCAGCCGGAGCTTTGGGACTGACTCCTCAGACCTTTCCCAGGAAAACCTAATGTCCACAACAGACTCTGCACAGATGGGATCTTGGGAATCACTCCCAAAGGAGAATACACTGAATTGTCTTTGTTTCTAAGTCAATCTCTTGTCCCAGACGAAGCAGGAAGCCAAGCCTTCCAATTAGAGATATCTACAAATATCAGCATGCTGGCTTTGCTTGCTGGAGCTTTCTGTTTCACAGATCTTAACAGGTCATATATAAAAATAAAAAAGAAGATTAAACTTGACCAGTTAATGCCTGCTGTTCAGGCCACTTTTATTTTTAAATAGCCATGGAGTAAGTGCTGGGGATGAAGAGTATAGCTTGGCACCAACATCCCTACATGGATAGCAGCGCTGTGGAAGGGATACACAGACTGCTTCCACAAAGTGATGGGAACAGTGGAGACCAGGGCTTAGGGGACGTCCCTCTGGCCTAGGTTTCCAGCTCACTGCTTTTTGTTTTAACTAAAGCAAGTTATTTATTTATTTATTTATTTATTTATTTATTTATTTATTTATTTATATTTTTAGAAATTACAGCTTATTCATTCTGAATCCGAGCTGTAGCCCTCACCCTGGGCCCCACCCCACTCTCCGTCCCTCATCTCCTCCCATGTCCCTCCCCAAGTCCACTGATAGGAAAGGTCCTTCTCCCCTTTCCTCTGATCCTAGTCTATCAGTTCTCATCAGGACTGGCAGCATTGTCTTCTTCTGTGGCCTGGTAAGGCTGCTCCCCCCTCAGGGAGAGGTGATCAAAGAGCCAGCCACTGAGTTCATGTCAGAGACAGTCCCTGTTCCCCTTATTAGGGAACCCACTTGAACACTGAACTGCCACAGTAAAGCGAGTTTTCTAATGTTTCTTCTCTGCTCTCTCCTCTGTAAAATGAGTGGGATAGTGAAAAACATGATTTAAAAAGGTTGCAAAAATAACTAACTTGGAGAATCTACTAGTGAATCTAGTTTAACTTCTTCAGCACTGCCATGTCTTAAAATATTAAAATTATTATCTCTATTTCACAACTGAGAAGACTGAGGCCCAGAAAGGGTCCATGCCTTTTCTTAGCAGGATGGTAGGCAAGAGGGCCTTTTTGTGAAATTACTGTTAATTAAGCTTGAGACCTACTATTTGACTAGGTCAAGACTCCATACCTTATTACTGATAATTAAGCTTGAGACCTACTATTTGAATAGATCAAGACTCCATACTTCATTTTTTTATTTTCTGTTTTAAAGACAGCTTGTAAATTTTGTTTAGTTCTGAAAACCATAGAAATGGAATCTGTCTGATGCAAGCAGTAGGTAGAACTGCAACACAAATATAGAGAACCTCAATCCAAAGCTTGAAGCCTCCTAGCAGCCTCTTGAAAACTCCCTAAGTTCTCCTATCTTTGAGGCTATCTGTGACAGGCAGAAACACGTCCCCTCAAAACTCACAGCCCTCACTCGATGTGGCTGATTTTGGAGATGGAATCGGTAAGAGATAATGACTATAAAATGAAGTCTGAGTCATTTACCATAAGATAGGGCTCCAATCAGATAGAATCCTTGTAGAAAAGAGAAAAGAACAGATCATCTTCCAAGGCTGTCCACCTAGAAAAGACCATATAGGCAGAGAAAGGGGGTGAGTGCTCTAGGAAAACGAGCTCTCATAAGAAACCAGCAAACAAATGCAGAATCAGCCATTATCTAGTCTGTGTCTTTCAGCCTCCAGGACTTCTTAGAAAGAGCATCACCGGCTGTTGACTCCACAAAGTCTGTATGTTTTGCTACAGCAACTGAAACAGAATCTGATGCTATCCTAGTTCTCCCTCAGGTGTGCAGTGTCTTATAGCTCAAATAACAGGACTGTTGGCATGTTCTGTGGGGGATCAGTCCACAGACAGCACTCTGTAAGGGTCTGAGAATCACTGCAGGAAGACCCCGGACTGAAATGTTATGTAAAAGCAAAGAGGATTTCTTCTGCCGAGACAACCAGCATGCAGGGTCAATCATTCATACAAAATGTTGACCCCAAAGTGAGCTTGAAGGTTCTTTTAGAAGCTATAGGGGAATTTCTACTGTGGCTATGTGACTCGGATTGGGATTGGCTGGTGTCCAGGAATGCTATGTGACTCGGATTGGGATTGGCGCTCAATTTAAAGAGAGATAGGATTACCTTATAGTAGGTTTGATCTCTTATTGCCCCCTGTCTTTATATATCTGAATCATATCTTTGATGATGTTATCTATTATATTTTGGTATGTCAGTTGGCATTGTAGGAACCCATTTGTCCCTTATGCCAAAAAATCTATTTGACTTAGCATTTCTGCCTGTTTGGTAGGGCAATGGACAATAGACTCTCTTCTGTGATGCCTTTGAGCTTACATTAGGGTATTGCTATCAAGGACCAGGAAGGCTGAAAAGCTAGTCAAAGGCTAGGCAATGGGGCACTTATCAGAAGCATCTGATTAGCAGCCAGTTGAAGAGACGGGGATCAGTCACATCGGCTGGACTGGTTTACATCAACTTTCAGCAAGTCAAAATCTCTGCAGCTTTCAATCCACAGGTAACCCTTAGAAGGAGTCTGTCAGCGAAGCGAAAATCTGCTGAAATAAATATAGACGAGGGACAAAAGGGAAAATTTGTCTAGTAACTGGGGAAGGTGAGGAATCCCATGACCAAAAGAAAAATCCCATTAAAAAAAAAAAAAAAGGTAGATGTACTGATCTGGGATCCATTTAAGCTGTGGCAGGCAGATGCAGGTCTTAATGACATTTTCATTTCCTGAAGCTCAGCTAAATTTTAGTTTACAAAAAGTATATTAGTATCAACATTGTATTGAGATCCATATTTTGGAAAAAAGCAGTTGATAGGTAATTGTAAGACAGCAAGAATAGTCCTCTCTCATGCATTTGAGACCTACTACAAGCTACAACTTTGAGGTAAAAAGCATTTGAACATTTTCTTCTCCATCCAGAGACATATTGGACAGAGATGTTTTTAGCATAATGAGAAGCACAAGTCTACAGAAGACAAGCAAAGGGAAATTAAATCTTGACCTTGTGACTGAATAGTAAGCAGCTTATTAGAATTCCATTGATCAATGTTAAAACCCTAAACTTCTGAAATCGTATAACAACATAAGGATAACAATAGCATAGAGGGGGAGAGAAATCTGAAACACTTCTCACTTTTAATGTGCCTTAAATCATCTTCTTATAGCTTTACAACTTGCATTTATATATCTTAAAACACCTCCTTAGACCCTCCAATCTTTATAATTTGCATTAACCAACCTAAAAACAAAATCTTAGGCCCTCAAATATTTTCTTAAACCCTCAAATATTTTCCTAGATCCTCAAACATTTTCTTAGATCCTTATAACTTAAACTTCTGTATCCTTAGGCCTTTTCCTATTTACCACGAGACACGGGTGAGACTGTTGTGAGCATTCACCATCCTTTAAGCAAAGGAATAGTAAAAGTTATACCTGAGGCCTATTCATATTTTAACATGAAGTCTGTGGGCAAGGAAAACCTATTTGCCTTCTTAAGCAAGAGATATGGTGTCTAGTAGTTTTCTTTTTTTTCTTTTTTTTTTTTTTGAATTTAAATGCATTTTATTTTTAGACAACCCACATGACATGTTTTTTCTTACAAAAACAATGCCTCCACTCCAAATAAATCACGGTCAAAATAAAAGCTCAAGATGACATCAGTCCCATTTGCCTAAAGTCCTGGTGTTGAATAGATGGTAAGCAGCAGCCAGTTACAGGTGATAGGTGTAGGTGACAGGTGATAGGTCCAATTTGTTAACATTTTTCCATCTCTAAGCCATCCTTAAAGAAAATCATGAATGGAGTCACACCATCTTCACGGTAGTCCAGGAGAGCAACCATACCATCTGGATTCATGTTTTCACCAATAAAAAACTGGTAGTTATTGAAGTTAGCAAGGATGTGCTTAATTTGCTCTGCAGCCCCAGCCATAAAAGGCTTTACTCTTTCTGGTTTATGTTCTCCAAGTTTGCCTTTGAGTGATTTCATGTAATCTTTGATGTACTTTTTGTAGGCCTCTTTTGTGAAGCTGGTTTCTTGTAAGTGATGGTTCATGACAATATCAACACCGGTGACTACTGTGCTTTCGGTACCTTCGCCCTCCGGGCCTTCGGCGGAAGCATTTCCACCGATGAGCGAGTCGTCGATGTTACCCTCTGTCCTACTGACCATCTTGCCCTCCACCTCCAGGCACAGCCCGTCCGCGATCTCCCGGATCTTGTAGATGTCGGAGAACAGCTCGTCATGGCTGATGAGGTCCCGGTAGATGATCATGGTGGCGGCTGGGGACGGCTGCGTGAGCCTGACGGCGCGGAGCGAGCGCGGTGCAGCCGGAGCGGCGCTCGGGGGGAGGGGGGAGCGGGCGGAAAAGCCTAGTAGTTTTCACTAACTAATGAATTGACAAATAGACTAATATGGTAGATGACCTTGGAGTAAGGAGCCAATTGTCTATTCTCTAGCTGTCAAGCTACCATTAGCTTAGCCATCAATGTGATCAGAGATCTGGGAAGGATAAATTGTAACCTAAATGAATCTATGTATTAATCAAAATGACAGAGATGACTAGTCAGTCATAACCCACTACCTAGACAGTTGCCTCAGGCACCTGCGGTTTTCATGGCAATGTGGACAGAGTCAACAGTATGGCCATCAGGCACAGAGGATGAGAGGCCCTTTTTGTGAAGAAGATGAAGAAAAGAGATTGACCTCACCTTTTTTTCAGCAGCTTGAGACAACAACACTTTAGGTGTCCAGTTCATCCACAGTTTAGGCTGTGCCCTAGTGAGAGCAAGACATTTGGACCATCTCGCTCAGTGGTTGACATACAACAATACAGAGTTGATGTCATCTGTCATTGTGCTCAAATCTTCTCAGAGACTGTGGGGAGCAACTATTAGGATTTGGGAGTCTCTGTCTATCATAATAAGCTTAGACATGTTAAATGCCATATTCAGCAGATCTCTGACAAGCTTGAGGGCCAGCATATCTGAGTTAATCTTTGTCTGTTTTTAGTTATCTACTCTGAACTACATCTTGTCAACATAGAACAGAATGTTATAATTTATAATTATGGCCTATTCTGTAGATAATTGTTTGGGGACCACATCTATCTCAAGTAGATCTAAATAGGTAAACTTTGGAGTCACCCATCCTAGGCTTAACCTTGAAAACCTAAAACAAGAGATTCAGTAAATCTCAATCTTCCAATTAACTGCATCAGTTATTAGCATAGCTTTAAATATATTTCTGAACTAGTATCAAAGCAAAACTGTACCTTTCAATCATAGATACAGTTCATAGAGAGACTGGCAATCTTGCTGATCCTACCACATTGCATTATTAAGACTGAACAGCAGAAGATTAAAGGACAAAATTTGCATTTGGTGCTAAGCAGGGTACTGAACACAGCCCTCAACAAAGATGGCAGCGAACCACAACTCTCCCATGACCAAGATGGCTGCCAGTCATGACTGCCCTTAGTAAAGATGGCAGTGAAGCCATAGCGCCACCTTCTTTATCCCAGAATCAACATGGCACATGTTGACTTTAAATTGCCTTGGCGGGCAAGTTAAAAACATAGCCATTAGGTGTCGCTTCTGGTGCTGCCAAATTTTACAGTCTAGCACTATGGAGCATTACCAGTTTCCTGTAGCCAAGTTCTAATGTTGTAAACAATTAAATGTCTCTAAAATTAACATAGTCATTTCCAGAGTCACCAATACTGTAGCTTGTTTATCTGTCAACCTTTTTAACCTTAAATTTTACCATCATATAAAGAATATAACTGGATATATGTGTGTGTATATATATATGTGTGTATGTGTGTGTGTGTGTGTGTGTGTATGTATATATCCTTACCAATTTAAAATGAGACTTGTTGCTTTCTTAGTTTAAAAGAAGATAGGACAATAAGCAGAGAATTCATTATGACTAATAGGTTCTATAATTATTGCCCTATACCACCACGTGCTATCTCAAGATGGTGGCCTGCTATCTCAGATGGCAGGTTGCAGATCATGTGCTCCACATAGTTATTTAAAAACATCTGTGTTTTTATAGATGTTGTAAACATATATACACACAAATGTTTTAAACAAGAGCTTGAACTTAAATTTTAAACATCAGCCTTTATTAGTCTGGTTTTTAACACAAGGCAGGAATTACATAAAAACCTTATCCCAATTTAGAGTATCTTTAGAGACCTGTTTCCTGGTCTTCTCATGACGTGTTGTTACCCAGAACGGCTTCAACCCTGAGTTACTTGTTTTAAGCTAACTTTTGGTTACAGATGTTACATATTTTTAACCATACCGAATAACGAAAAATCTATACAGCACGTAGTAAACTTCTACATTTAAGACCAGCCAGAAGTAAACATATAGTGGCCATCCATATATATTTAAAACAGACAGACAAAACTCTCCTTACTTTATCCGGCTGTAATTTCAAGGGAGGAGCACCTTGCTTTCCGCTGGATCCAATCGATCCGGGCAGGAGCTGGCATCTTCTCTGCCATGTTGCTCAGCGTGTGTCAGTGGCAGAGAGAGGCCAAGCCTGCTCCCCATGCTACAGCTGCCTTTTGGCCGCCCTCGCCTCAGAACCCTGGGGCTGACCGGAGTCAGCAGGATGGAGCCAGCTGCTGGGCCTCTGGGAGGCAGTGGCGCAGAAAGGAGTTCCTAGCACATATGTGAGCAGCAGCCGCCATGGAAGACAATGGCCCCGCGGAGCAGAGCATCAGCTGCTCCTCCCCTGGTGTGGAGGTTGTGGGTCACCCGCTGCAGACTACAAGGAGATGGCAGGGCCTCAGGAGACACAGGGCAGCCTGGGAGTGTGCATCCCAGGCTACAGAAACACAGAGCAGCAGGGCCTCCTGGAGGTTAGAGCAAGCCATCTGACCCATGATGATTCCCAAGAAGAACGTTCAAAGACAAGCTGAAAACAAGCAGAACACGACACAGGGACAAAACGGTAGCCTATCCCGAGAGTGGGTTCTGCCTGATGGGCTCAACCCGTCCTCAGCCACAGGAATCAAAAGACCCAGAGTGGACCCTCTCCACTCCTCCGCCGACAGGGGTCTGGAGTGTCCTCGGGACCCCTGGGCCAGGAGAAAGTGGTGCATCTGCCTGATCTCCGTTGCCTATCGATTGCGCCTGAACACCAGAAAAAAGATGCAAACTAAACAACGGCTTGCCAGCACTCACTGATGGGGGTAGAACAGAACACGCTGTCCTGGAAATGCTCTACTATTAGTTTTGGGAGTCCCCAGCAATCCCGGACAAGCCCCTAAATGTAAGGGTCTGAGTGTCGCTGAAGGAAGACCCCAGACTCAAGTAGCATGCAGAAGCAAAGAGCGTTCTGCGGAGACAACCAGAATGCAGGGGTCGACCATTCATACAAAATGTCGACCCTGAAGCGAGCTCGCAGGCTCTTTTAAAAGCTTAAGGGGGATTTCTACAGGGGCTACAGGACTTCAGTTGGGATTGACTGGTGCCCATGGAGGCTATGTGACTCCGATTGGAATTGGCTCTCAATTTGGAGAGAGAGGATCGCCTCATGGTTGGTTTGGTCCTCTCAAACCTAGGCATGGTCAGAATTTTCCCTAGAAATCAGATGTCTTCTTCCTTCCTACCCTTGGGTTTTCAGTATTAACCATTTAACCTCAGGAAACCATTCAGGTACTAACCTCATTTATTCCTGATTTGATAAGGATGAGATGGACTTCTTTGTGCACACCACTGTCTATCTACATGGACTGCAGGACGGAAAAATTAACCAAGATTTTACTGCAAAAATTTTGCCTAAATAACACAGCAAATTTTACCCGGTTTCCCATTACATCATGTAGTAATCATGAATCCCTCCATGAGGGCAATGAATTGAGTGAATAATCCAACCATTAGACTGTTGTAAATTCAATGTAGGGTCATCAACAGACATCTGAACATATAATCATATATCATAATAATGTTCATGCCTTACCCATTCCTCAATTCTTACTTCACTAAGATTTATTTGATAAGTGCCAGTTGGTCTTGGCGATATTAAAGGTCTGTAGACAAATTAAATTAGATTGTAGGATGTTCACATCTGTAGTACATTCCCTAAATATTACCTTCCCTGGGACGTGGTCACTCGTGACTGTGATGGCATATGGCTCTGACGCCTATGAGTTGATTCATCACGAATGATACTGAAAAGATTTTACATGGATAGCCAACATCTCCAATCACTTAATTTTATGTTCATCAGAAGATTATCCTGGGTGAGCTTGGCCTAACCAGAAATAATGTTTAAAGGCGCACTGGCTGCTTTTCCAGAGGATCCAAGTTCAATTCCACATGGCAACTCATAACTGTCTCTAACTACAGTGCCAGGGGATCTGACACCCTCAGACAGATATACGCACAGACAAAAACACCAGGGCACATAAGATACACAAATAAATAAATCTTTAGAAAGAGCGAAGATTCTTCTGATCCAAAAGACATAAACAGCTGTGTGGTGAGCAAGGCTTATGTGTACAGCTGGAGGGAGTCTCTGGGACCTATGAATAAGGAGCTCCCACCCCAGCTGACAGCCAAATTCAAACCTCTGTCCCATACCCACAAGAGACTAGGAAGGCTATTTGAAGACTCCATATCCCAGATTAGATGGGACTGATTCTGGCCTATACCTTGATTTCTGCCTGGGGAAAGCCTGAATTGCCCCTTGATAATGAGTTGAAACAGAGCATCTATGTTTAAAGGTTTTTAACGATGTGCTAACTATGTGCACCCGGGATGGGTGCAGGGGGATGGGTGCGGTGAGTGCTGGAGAGTGTAGGTGCCTGTGCAGACGACAGGTGTCAGACCCTCACACAAGCTACAAATAATTATGGACAATCTGACGGGGTACTGGGAACCAGCCCTAGGCCCCCTGCAACAGCAATACTGTGCTCTTAATCTCAGACCATTTCTCCAGCCTGGAAATGTATATATATTTTTTTAACTGCTGAGTTTGTGGTAACTTGTTATACTTTAATAATAACAGTAACAATAATAACGCTGCTGCTGCTGCTGATGATGATGATGATGATGTTGAGAGTTAATAACATAGATGAGGTATTGCCTTCATGGGGCTTTAACTTCACTGAGGGACAAGAGCAAAAACTTACTTGTAAATTCACAGCAGTATTCCAACTAATGACATGTGTAAGAGAAAAATCCCAGCTGCTTAGAGTATGGGAGAGAGTGGATGGGGAGTGGATGGCCAAGGAAGACCAATCGGAAACACAACAGGCAACCACAGGAGATAAATGGAAAGAACATTCCAGGCAGAAGGAAAAGGCAAGAAAGAAGGCTCTCCATGTTGGTGGCCATATCATTACAG